TTTCAGCCAAATTCATATGGAAACGTTTGTTTATATGGACATAAAAAAGGTTATGTGAAAAAATAATCATTCCATTTAAATGTTCATTCCAGGAGGAAAATGCCTGGTTTCTCCGATTTTTGTTATTTTGACGAGTGCCTGATTTCCCCATGCTGTCTCACATTTGGTCAACTGGCGACCTGCGCGTGAGAGAATGTCAAAGCCTTTGTCATTAGAATAATGAAGTGTACTTTGAGACATTAGTAGTCCAGTCAAAAGTTCGTGGTGAAACCTTTCCTCCAATATCTCATTAACTGGTGAATCAGTGCCATCCATACTTTGCACAGCACTTTACATCAGTTTCTCTTAATTTAATAATGGGAGTGCTTATTTAGGCCACATATGGCCTAAATAAGGTAAGGGAGGGGGGTTTAGCTTATTTAGGCCACAGGCGTGGCCTAAATAAGGTAAGGGAGGGGGGTTTAGCTTATTTAGGCCACAAGTGTGGCCTAAATAAGGTAAAGGAGGGGGTTTAGCTTATTTAGGCCATATGTGGCCTAAATAAGGTCACCCTTTAATAATATTTTTCCACCTCAGATTAGGCTACATTAAAAGAGAATGTTGTTCCTAAATGTATATACAACACTTTAAATCTTCATCACTCACAAAATGGGATTGTTCACAGCACTTCCCGTTTCCCGAACACATTTTGCATAAGCTTGTGACCTACATCACAGCTCACCAATGACACTTTTTAGTGGCAAAACTTGTCACAAGAAATTAATACTATAGTGAACACTTTGGCACAAAAGGTTCTCTAACTCAAAACATGCGTTCAGAGAGCATATTGTCGTGATTTGAAAAATATGATGGACTTACTTTTTAAAACATATTGTCTCAGCTGTAAACCTTTGAAAATCTGTAAAAACCACCCACTGAGATTTTTTATTAGTATTTATTAAAGAATTTTATAGGATACAGCTATCAGGTGTTTACAAAAACATTGATCTGTTAAGACAAATTGATACAAGTCATTGTGCAAAAGCTGGGGAGTATATGTTCCATAGATGAAAAAATACAGTATTTGACATAAAGTTAAGCCATGAATTTTTTAACCGCAATATAAAGTGTCTGGGGTGCTAGTTTCGGGTTTCTTCCGACGTGAGACGAGCATCAGCATACTTTGTGGAGTGGGTTAGTACATATCCACATACTGCTTTGGATTGCAACAGTCTTTATGACTAAACATTTTTAAGACACACACTTTTTTAAAGTATATGTCGAAGAAAAGGAGCCAAATCTGTCGGAGAGAAATTGTGGAGAAAGGAAATAATGTAACAATCAGAGGGAAACTGCAGACATAATAATATGTTTATTCGGGATTCTAGCTTTGTTTACGTCAAGATTTAAACATTGGCACAGAGATTCCAAATGAGGCACAAAGATACAAACATTGTAGCCTCATTACCACTACATATACAACCGAACAATAAATGTTGTCAAAGGAAATGCATAGATAGATAGATATATAGGTAGATAGATAGATAACTATCTCACTCTCTCTCACCTTACTCTGTATCTTCTTACACACACACACACACACACACACACACACACACACACACACACACACACACACACACACACACATACACACACACAAACACACACACACACACACACACACACACAAACACACACACACACGTGCACCCACGAACACATAAACCTACAATCAATCACACTCTGTCTCACTTCTCCTCCCTTCCTCCCTCCCTCCCTCCCTCCCTCCCTCCCTCCCACCCTCTCTCTCTCTCTCTCTCTCTCTCTCTCTCTCTCTCTCTCTCTCTCTCTCTCTCTCTCTCTCTCTCTCCCTCTCTCGTTTTTTCTTTTCTCAGTCTTTCTCTCCTTGTGTGTGATTGTGTGAGTGTGTGCATATGTGTATGTATGTATTTGTGTATGTATGTGTGTTTGTATTTGCGTACGTGTCTGTTAGTGTGTGTGTGTGTGTGTGTGTGTGTGTTTGTGTGTGTGTGTGTGTGTATGTGTGTGTGTGTTGATGTGTGTGTTTGGGATCTTCCTCGAAAATAAAACTGCAGTCTGCATTTACCTCTCAGCCCCCCCCCCCCCTTCCTTTCCTTAATAACATCCCTTTATTTTTCAAAAGTTTGAAAATTATGTTATTGATGTTAACCGATTGCTCTTTCTGACATGTGGGTTCGAGGGCAGTCCTAACCTAACATTTATGACATATAAACCAATTAAACATACATGGCTACATTTTCTGATTGGTACAGAGAGCGGCTTGACGACATTCTCTACGTTGTACATATACCAACTCAACATTCACAATGACATTTTCTGCTTTGCACAGACAACATCCCAAATTCACGATGAAGATTTCTTCTCTGTACAAATAGCGACTCAAATTTATGGTGACATTTTCTGCTTTGTACAGAGAGCGACATAACATTTATGACGACATTTTCATTCTTTGTACAGATAGCAACCCAACATTCAC